CTGCCTACCCCGTAGGCGCTCACCTTGGCCGACTGGACGGCGGGCCGTGGCGGGGCGAGGCGGGGCGGGGCGTGGCGGGGCGAGGCGGGGCCGACGCCGTGCGCCTTAGTGCCGTCCAGCTTACGCCTCGGGGTGAGTGAGGCTGTGCCTGACGCGGTACAGCGAGCGCTCGATGGATCCCCGAGCAGGCCTCGCGCCGGCCTTGGTTCGCTCTTGCGACAGACAGCACGACAAGACGGTCAACACCACGAGGCCCCGGCAAGAAGAGCACGCTCGCGGCACGCCCCTGTGAGAGAGAACAACGAAGAAGCGCGCCGGGCAACAACGCAAGAATATTTTTGGCAGATGATACCTTACATATTTTCACTACATATAAAGAATACATAAGTAACTTTAAGCTGTCAGCTAGCTACAACTCTCGATCAGCAGGAGAGACAACGAAGTGCAAAACCAGATATTAGTTTTTGTGCGCTGGAGGAATGGCGTCCGAGTGAGTGTCGCGCTAGGCCCCTTCATTTGCCGTCTAACAATACTGCGCAAGGATGGGCTCCTTGCTCCTTCCCTGCCCAACAATACGACGACGCCGTCGGTCGCCCTGCCCGTCCCGAACGTCCTCCTCTACACCACTATGCCGCCGAATGCCGAATCGCAAGATTGCAAAGTAACCAAAAACAAATTCAAAGCAGCTAATAAGAGAAAAAATAAGAACATTAGCCTATTAATACACTCTAAATGTCAAGGGACAATTTTGTCCGTAGATTTGCTACGATTTCGTGCACATCCAGAAAGGATGCAATTTTGTTCCCTTAATTGGACAAATTGTGTGAAGTTTCACACAATTTGTCTAGTTTTAGGAACAAAATTGCATCCTTTCTGGATGTGCACGAAATCGTTGCAAATCTACGGACAAAATTGTCCCTTTACATTTAGAGTGTAAATTTGTATCATCTGCTTTCAAGGTCGATTCTACATTGAGATTTTTTTGTGAAAAAATTCTTATTTCTTTCCCTTTTTATCAGGCCGGGCGTGTGCCGCGTTGTCCGGCGCCGGCCACTATCGCCCTCGTGCCGATGCGTCACTCACGTGTGGGTGGTGTCATCATCGGGGTCCACGCGGCCAGGTGGGCCTTATCCACCACCACTATCCCAACACGGCCAGAGATATAACAGTGCCGATTTCCGCCGTGGCGTCAGTCTGTTTTCGTGTGTCGGTGGACGGCGTCGTCGTCCTTGGCTCCGGACGTGGCAATCGTCGTCGTCGTGCACCTCGATCGCCACACGGCTCATACCATGTCCGTCATCATCGTCTACGACAGGCCGAGCGCCGAGTACCTCGCGGGGGAGACGGTGACCGGCAGGGTCATCGTCCACCTCGACCAGCCCACGTCCATCAAAGGTGGGCGACGACGATATCGGAAAAAAAAACTGACGATTTTTCCAAGATGTGCTGAATGGGCCTCGAAAATGATGGTCCTGTTTGTTTGACACCTTTATGACATCTGAAGTCGCGCGCTCCGATAATCGATTCGATATCGCATGCGAGTGTGGGTTCGATCTTAAAATCATTCTTGCGGTCCACATTGCAGAGATCACGCTAAGACTCAAGGGTGAGACAAAGTTGGACGGCGTCCTCGCCCTGCTCAACCAGATGACGGCGGTCGGCACTATATGTAGGTCTACATTAACATCATTCATCATCATCATTATCATTCATTCATCATTCCCTTCGTCCATTCATTCGTTCATTCATTCGTTCATTCATTCGTGCATTCATTCGTTCATTCATTCATTCACTCCCTCATTTATTTGTGAATTCATTCGTTCATTCATACCTACCGATTTTTTCGCTAAATCCAACCCCCCATCCTCCTGTCGCAGTGCGTCTGGTGAACCCCCCGCACGAGATCTTCTACAAGAGCAAGACGCAGCTCCTTGGCGGCGGCGACAAGCCCAAGCACCAGGACACGAAGCTCGAGCCGGGCACCCACGCGTACCCCTTCGAGTTCACGCTCCCGGCCACGGTCCCCAGCTCCTTCACGAGCAAGAACACGGGCCGCACGCTCTTCTCGGCCAAAGCCCTGGTGCGCTGGGACAAGGCGGACGACCAGAGCGCCGAGTCCGAGATGATCGTGTTCGAGCCCGTGGACCTCAACCTGCTACTGCCGCACATCGCGGTAAGGTTCATGTTCGTGAGGACAGCTCCTCTTCTGCAGTCGTTAGATGGAAATATACCTTACTGCCTTCAATCAGCTTCCGAAAGTTGTCACGGTGGCGTCGAGGTTAGAGGCGTCAACTTCGGAGCAGCAGGTCTTAGGCTCAATTCTCGGTAACGTCTGAATTTGCATTATTAGAAGTAGTTATTGTTATGAAGTATTCAGAGGGTCTCTCCTTTAAGCATCATCGCCGTTGCTTCAGGGTTGTTCGTCTTCATTTGCAGCTAGGTGGCTTCTTCAGGGTGGTCCACAGACCCCCTTCCTTTATTTTGCTTCTAGTGTACCGGATGCAGCCGGTGCGGCCGGGTTGCATACTCGCACGGGGCCGTATGAGGCGAAACGGCGAGCTAGGGTCGGCAAGCCCGTCCACACGCCTGCATCTGGTGCGGTATAAGCTCTGTGGACCACCACCCTGCCCCTGCCCACTGATAAACTAAGTGTTCAACTGCTCAACACTTGTAAGTGTGCAACTGCAAGTTGAATACTTGAAAGTGTCCGACTACGTAGTTGTACTACACTTGCAAGAGTTAAACTCGGTAGGTGTGCACTTGCAAGTGTGCAACTTCTCTGTTGAACACTTCCATAGATTGGACGCTTACTGTGTAGGAAGTGCTCAACCGAGGAGTTGCACACTTGCAAGTGCTCAACCGAGGAGTTGCACACTTGCAAGTGCTCAACCGAGGAGTTGCAAGCTTGCAAGTGCTCAACCGAGGAGTTGCACACTTGCAAGTGCACACCTACCGAGCTGCACACTTGCAAGTATTCAACTTTCAGTTGCACACTTGCAAGTATTTAACTTGCAGTTGCACACTTAGAAGTGTTGAGCAGTTGAACACTTATTTTATCAGTGCATATGGCTGTTCGCACGGGAGTGTACGCTCTTTTCTCCAATCACATATTTTCAGGGCAAATGGCCCATTTTACCCAGAAACTCGTCAAAAAAAAATTGTTCCATTTACCAACGAGACCTCCGATCAGTGTGCGCTCATTTTAGAAGTGAGATACGGCTCTGGAAATATGATTGAGTTGGGAAGTCGAGGGAGAAAGGGATTCCTGATGAAAATGGCAAAATTTATTTGCAATTATTATTTGTATTTATTTACTTTTAGAGTGTGAAAGGGAGGGGGAGGGGTGCGAGGGCATTTCATTAGGTACCTCTCGAATATTGAAGATTCCGCGACCTCGTGCTGCACCTGCACGTACGTCGCGGCGCTCTCTCCTAATCTCTTATAAGTGCCACGAACCACACAAACACTTTAATCTCCATGCTTTTCCCAGGAACCCTTCGCGAAGACGGACAGCAAGTACTTCTGGACCCTGGGCAGCAAGTCGGGGCCCCTCACCATGAGCGTCAGAGTGCCGAGCCAGGGGTACGTCCCCGGCGAAACCATCCCATTCGAAGTCGAAGTCGACAACAAGAGCACCTTCGTCGTGCACAGAGTGGAGGTTGCAGTGAGCCAGGTGACGTACCGTTGTCATAAACCCCATCGTTGCTCCAGCTACTGCCACTCGTGATCGAACAAGGTGTTGACATTCTCCTGCAGCACGTCAAATACTACTTCAACTTGCGGAAGGTCCCTGAATTCATTAAAGTTGCGAAAGTGGAGCTCGAACACAGCCAGGTAAAAGGCGGCGAAGCGAAGGCCTTCAAGCACAGCATCACCGTACCAGAGAGGACGCCACCGACCGTCCAGAACAACAAGTCTAAACACGTCAAGTGGAAATACTTCCTGACGGTAAGATGTAACTGGTTTTTTTTTAAAAATTTTATTTTTAAAAGGGAGGGGGGGGGGGAAGCAAAAGTAGTAGTGGACCCAATGACTTAACTTTCACAATATTTTCTTAGGCAAATGCCGTGGTCGACCAGGGTCACATAAACCTAAGAGTCTCGGCGCCCATCGTGATCGGCACCCTCCCCGTAGGAGCAACAGGAGGACGCGCGGAAGTCAAAGGTTCACCAACAAGTCCACCTCCGTATTCCAAAGCTGATCAAGTTTCATCAGACTTCATCAAAACTTTAATATAAAAATTCCTTAATAAATAAGTCAAAACACTAAAAAGTTGCTAACGAAGGCAGTGCGTATAGTGTGTGCCGCTCGTACTCGAATCATCGTCCTAATTCCGAAACCTAGATTCTGTACAGCTGTGCCAGATGGAAAGGGATGAGCAAGAAATATGACCGCGGTAGATTAAAAATATACATATATCAACTTTAATGAAATTTTTACAAAATATCAAAATGATAAAAGGCACTTTTTTGAATCACAGTGTTTTCATAAGATGGGTACATGAGAACACAAGATGATAACTTGCATTGGTAAAACAAAGAGGAATAAAATTGAATATGTCTAAGCCACCAAGGGAAAGTAACTAAACATTCTACATACATATGTTACACGAATAAAATACGAAGAAAACCCCTACAGTAATGGAAAAAGCCGCATTCTGATGAAACAATTTTCAAGTTCAACATATGGTTCTTGTCAACATATTTATATAAAATATGATGATAGAATTGACACAAGAATGAAAACGAACATAGAAAAATTCCATCAAAGTAATAGGGGACCAAAAGAAAGACCAAAGTTCGAGTGATCGATTATATATAAAAGCATTTTTGACACCAAACATGAACTTAAATAAATAGTCATTCATACGGTGGTTTTATAATAATGCGGAGAGAGCCTCCCCATCAAAATTATCTATAATGTCACTTTAATGTCAACTTGTAAAAAATTATGAGTTTCACCGACTAAACAATGGCAGATCAGACTTCAAAGGACAGAACTAAGGCACCAAAGGTTTGTGCCTTAGATTTTCACGAAAACAGAACCTTTTCCACGCCGAGTGGAAAAGAGATCTTGTAAATACTATGAGGTAGTACAAATACATTTCTGCCAGGTGTGACAGCCCAATGTACTTTTACACGATACAATTCAAATCTTGCGTTGTTGCTGAGCGAGTGCCAGCACTTCCTCGCAGACGCGCTTGTAGCACCAGGCGTCTCCCTTCAGCCTCTTACGTCTGATGCCAACGACGGGCGGGGGAGGGTTGCGAACGGTTTGCGAGCAGGTCTGAATGAGGCAAACCTCGAGCTCAAAGGAGAGTTGGTGACCCTTCTCGGCGTCCACTTTGCCACGCAATGTAAACCTAAAAAGACGAAAATTCCACAATTCAGAGCTCCGTTTTTCAGAGCCGACAAATAGGCAAACCGAAAGAAAAGAAAAAAAAAACTTCAGAAAGTAAATTGAAGGTGCAAAAACCGCAGATCACTGACCCTTTCTGTTTGCAGGTGATGCCCTTGCTCGCCAGCGCCTGGAGGAGCTCCTGCAGCACCTCATCGGGGTCGCTGTGACTAGCCGTGGACACGTTGCAAAGCCCCTGCAACCGAGACACACGTTCAGATTGCTTGCTTAACACGTGGTAAAGAGGGGTCAGCAATGAGATGCCGGTCCCACACTGTTTTAAGGGGGCATACAAATAGTAAAGGGGTCCCTGAAAGGATCAGAACCGTCATCGGAGTCCATAGGGGACCCCGTGATATTTGTAGCCAAGGGGTAAGAAAAAAGTTGTAGGGTCCTGCAGACTCCAGCCCTGATCCTTTTGCGACCCCAAACTATTTGTACCCCCCGCGGGAGTCGTACGTGCTGCCTACGCTGCGGGCGCTCACCTTGGCCGACAGGACGGCGGGCGTGGCGGGGCGCGGCGCGAGCGGGCTGACGCCGTCCGCCAGCGTGCCGTCCAGCTTGCGCCTCGGGGTGAGGATGTGCCTGACGCGGTGCAGCGAGCGCTCGATGGAGCCCCGCAGGCCGCGCGCCGGCGTGGGCTCGCCCCTGCAACAGAAGGAACGACGAGGCGGTCAACAAACGCAACGACACACCCGGAGGACCGGTGGGAGGACGCCCCTGTAAGAGAGAACGACAAGGCGGTCAACAACGCACAAATATTTTTTGAAAAATGTCCCAATTTTTTCCTGAGAAGTTTTATTTCTTTTCAATTTTTCTGGCAACATTTCAATTTTTTGTTTTTTTCTTCCTCGGCAAAATTTTCAGACTTAAAAATCTCTACACCCTGGACCCCGCTGCGGACTCCGGCGGCCGGCCTCCTCTCCTCTCCTCTACTATACTATGGATTTGCATGTGGCTTCCGCCGGGCCTGGCCGCGTCCGGGAGCGCCCCCTCCGCGGGCTGGGCAGGGCTGGGCTGGGCTCTGGGCCCGGCTGCTGGGCACGGCTGGGCCGCGGTCAGTTCGGACGCGGTGGTCCCCCTTCCGGCCGCGCTCGTACATCAGCCGCAAAACAATCGGCACTCGCTATATTGGAGCACAAAAGGGGGGAGCGCGCGGCATCGAAGCGACGACAGGCCGACATCGATGTCGAAAAATGGTCGAATCGCTCTTATTGAAATGATTTAGAATTCCATACATTGTTCACGTCTAGACATCGATTGATCGCCCTGGCACCGAAAGTCGTCGACGTCGATTTTGATATCCGCGACGTTCTAAGTTTCCCCCGCAGGTGGGGACAACCGCACCCCACCCCGCCCCGCCAGGCCCTAAGATTGCATTTGGCCTTTGACGCTCGGGAGGATGAGGATTGTAAAAACGCTCGAGTTGACACACTATGAGCACCTGGAACAGACTTACGGACACAATACGCCCACCTCGACGCCCACTTATTCTTATAGACTAGATGCGATAAGCTTGCAGAAATTATGGCTCAATAAGTTCGCCCGCCCCGCTAAAGCTCGGGAAAGCCCTGCGCCCTGCCGATCCCCCCACCCCTCCCCCTTTTCCCCATTTTCTCTCTCTCTCCGAAAAGCTGAACGGGCGGTCATATTTATGCAGGGCGAGGTGGGGCGGCTGCTGGGGGTGCGGGTGACACTGCGCCCGCCGTCGTGAGAACAGACGACGTGATCTGGAGAGGGGGGTGGGGGGAGAGGAAGGGTGGTGGAGAGTGGAGGAGGAGTGGCCGAGGAGGGGTGGCTTGTTTTAATCTGCGTGGCCAGGCAGCGTGAAATATAGTGCGAGATGGATGGGGAGGGTCCTGCGGAGTGACGGAGCCCCTCCCCCTCCTCCATTCCGTTTCCTCCTCCCTCCTCCTCTCCTCCTCCCGTCCCCTCCGCTCCGCTCCCGCTGGTAGCTGCGGTCACTTCCCCACCTAGAAAGGATAGCTATCCTTTCTAGCTTCCACGTAGTCGTAGTCTCGTGGTTTTCACGAGGGGTCCCCCACTATAAAACTCGCGTTGTACGAGAAAAAAATATTCTCATTTTAAGCAGTTGATACAGTGTTCCCTCGATATAGATACGCGATTTGGGCTTCGCCACGGATCTATATCGAGTGAACCCAGGTAGGGCGTGGGTACCTCGCCTGGGCGGGGCTCGGGGCAGAGCCGGACCCTCCGGCGCCCAGCTGCTAGGGGATTAGCGACCGGCGGGGAGAGGTCTAAGCCGGGCCGTTCGCCTGTTCCGATCGAGTTATGTTCTGTTCGAAAAACGTTCATTATGTTCATTGCACCGTATTGCTTTATTAAAAACATTGTTTTCCGTCCAAACCGCATGCCTAAACTCGAATTTTGAGGTTTTTAGCACAGGTTGCCAAATAACGGCTAAAAACCTCAAAATTGGAGTTTAGACATGCGGTTTGGACGTAAAAAAAATGGTTTTTAAAAAGCAATACGATGCAATGAACATAATGAACGTTTTTCGAACAGAACACAACTCGATCGGAACAGGCGAACGGCCCGGCTTGGACCTCTCCCCGCCGGTCGCTAATCCCCTGGCAGCTGGGTGCCGGACCGTCTCATCACTTGTCAGAGCTCAGTCGCCTCTCGCCCGCCTACCCGGAGTGGTGGGGATGACTCGCGTATCTATATCGAGGTAACTATATCGAGGGACCACTGTAATTAAGCCACTAGAAACTTTAATCCATGTGAACAATGTTGTAAAGCATGCTGTAGAAAAAGTGCCCAATACCCTCTGAACTTATTTGATTCAATTCGAGTGCGGTGTACGCCCTTCGTCTGATAATGCAACAATAATCACGTATAGAAATGTGCGACAAACGATTGTTGCTTCGACAAAAACGTTATGTCGGCAACATTTTCAAAAGTGTTATTTTCTTTTTCTGGCCAATTCCAGATCGTACAAATTGCAAAAAGTCATCTGTTGTTTTGATGTCTGTTGTTTCTTTTTCTTTCTTTTTTTTTATTAAAGAAAAATAGCTGCTACAAAAATACTTGTCTTCGAAATTGTTGCCAATATTTTGCTCGAACAGTCAGGCAACAAGTTGTTTGTAAGAGGTGGCTCACTAACGCCGCATGCTTTCGTAGTTATACTGTACCGCATGCACGCGTGCGAGCGGTTTGCATACTGGCGCGGGGCCATGGAGCCGTATGAGCATCGAGGGGATGGGCACGCGACCAGTGCATGTGGTATAGTACAACTACGAGAGTATGGTTTTGTGTTTTTCTCCCTTCCACACATTTTGTTTTTCCCGCGCGAAGTACTCACCTGTCTGGCGTGGGCGTGCAGGGCGCAGGCGTGGCGGCCCTGCTCGCGGGCTCGGGCGGTGGAGGCGCCTCCCTCCGAGTGCGGCCTGCAAAATAGTTCGAGTGATTACGGGAGAGCAAAGAAAGAGAGGGGAGGGAGGGAGGGA